TAAGTGCAAGAAAGACTTCATAATCCCAAACTTGTAACGCCATAACACAACTATACACATTGTAGTGTTTGTTGGATATCATGTTATCTAGCCCAACCTTAAAGTAAGTAATCATGTTTGCCCGTATGATACTACCCCATGGGTAAGAATATAATTAAGGCTTTCAAGGTCATCTACTAGGTTAATGTAATACTTATTTAGAGACACTTGACCATTAACGACTAAAATAACATGTCATAAAACATAGAGTAAAGACAACTTAACTATGTCATCATTTGACACTTGACCTTTTTGAAGCGTCTTGAACAAATTCTCAATATCCGGCTAAAAACCATTGTCTTGCGATTAGTGAAGTTCTTTTTCCAAATCACTACCGTTTCAGTTACAACAGGTGGATTGATTTCAAAATGTTCATCAAAGCAGAAGCCTTGAGTTTCAGTTGAACTGAAAAACTAAAAATGATACGAGTCTATTCTCTATTTCGAAATGAAAATGGGAACAACCATCTTTCTCACACTCATCTAATTCAACCAAGTTACCTAACAACAAATGTAATAATTGCCCACAACAAGTGATCTCCTTAGCAGGTAAGAATTTCTCAAAGACTGTCTGACTAAACAATTGAATTTAACCAAGAAGAAGTTTGGACTTAAGAAGCCTATATATTGAGTCATAAAACTTTGAAAAAGTATTAACTTTCCTATTTGAAATTTCCTTATAAATTAAACCCATGACTTGTCTGCCAAGCGCTTATATTTCTGAAAAAAGAAAAAAAAAGTTATAAAAGGGTAAGTATGGGATAAAACTGCAGTATTGGACATTATACTTCACTAAAAACAAAGTACAAAGTCATAGGGAATTTTTTTCAATTTTCCAATAAACTTCTTTGAGGATTAACCTTATGCGTCAACGCTGAGCAAGTTGAAACGCGGCGTGATGGTGTAGTGATTGGAGGAAATGTGAACTCACTGTCCAACATTTCTACAATCAAAACTAATAAATAGTTATATTTCAAATAGTTGATCTTGATAAGAACTTAGAATAACAATGACCTAACATAAAATAAACACACATAACAATTAAATGAAATCTTACTCTATATAAAAAGAGGTGGAAAACCAAGTCGTTTTCCCTCCAACAGTTACAGGTCAAAATATGGGTCGGATCTGCTGAGTCATTTCATTGTATTATAGTATATTGCTATGGGCCAGATTTATTTAATGTTGTTACAAAGGTGTACTACGTGTTCTAATTGCAAAGCACATGTCTACACGTTGTAGGATGGTAATTGCGTGTTTCGATTTGTAAAATTAAACATCTATTCAAACCATGACAAAATCTCTTCTTGGTTTATGCAAAATCATTTATCAGCCATTTAAAAACACTCCATGTTATATTCAATTGCAATTCAACATTTATTATTTGGGCCATGCGTGTCACTTTCCTCGAAGATTAGTCCAATCACATTTCCATTCAGTCTGTACATTTATTAAATGCACTGTACTTCTATTGCTTGCTATTATTTGTTGGATATTAGGGCATCCACACCCATAGATAATTTTTTATATCATTTTGATAATGTGGAGGATTCTTTTGGGGATCATGGATGAGGAGTTGAAATTATTTTATGAGATTATTTGATAAAATAATCTGGTATCAAATTCTAAAGCTGGATTATTTTGAGATTATTTCCAACTTCTAGGCATATACTCATAATTATGGTAATGACTAGCTTTGTAATTTGTGCATGCTCATGCTCCTATCCAAGGTAAATTAAGATCATGAATGAGGAGACATTTATTGGTTTGGAGATTATTTGAAAGAGAAAATTAGGTATATAAACACAATTAAATATGTGTCTTTAAGTTAATGTTATGGATTAACAAAAATAAACTAGATAGCCTTTATAAAAAAATTAACACCACCGTTTAGTACGGAATCCAATTGTGATATGTAGTATTTGGAAGGTTTTATATTTGTAACCAACTAACCATAACTGCAAATGAAAGGTTGGATCCAGTGTTTAAAAATTTACGGAATTCATATTAACAACAAATGTGCTATCTATTTATTTTTATAAAATAGGGGCTACTAACTTTAAGAGACCTAATATTTTAGGCTATATAACCATTTTTCCCTATTTGAAATTATATTATGTGGAGGTAACATGTCAATAATAAGCCATGAAAAACTGTAAAGTTGGAAATCATCAATGTGGATGCTTACTCCGTAGTATGATACAGTTTTGAATCAATGTAATGAATGTAATGAATGCACTATAAAAGAGGACACTTCGAGACCAATTCTCATTTTATCTCAACACAACCATGGCAACTAATGCTAATTGACAACATGGTCTCTTTAGAAATGTTTCCAACACAAAATCAACTTGGGCATCGAGGATTTGAGGTTAAGAGCGGCTTATGAGATTCTAATCCATTCCACAGAAGAACATACGCCGGAAATTATCTTGCGTGTCGAGGTAGATTTTTTGTTCACACATGTATTAATTGTTTCGGTTTTATATTAAAAATCTGGAATTGGAGATTTCATGGAAGCGAGTCATAATGAAATTTCTCTTGATCTATTACAAATCATTGTTGCTTCAACAATACAAACACGTATAAAGCAGGTCCATCAAAGACATCACCAGGTTAGGCAGTATAAACATTGTTAATTTCAAACAAAAAATTAATGTCTATATGAAACTCCCAAGCACAATGTATGCTAAGTAGTATACCTAAGAGATATTTTTGGTCTTAGAAATACTGATCATTAACTATTTATATATACTTATGATACCAAATCATTTTAGATATAGTTGAGAACAAACCTCATACGTAGTACTTAATAGTTTATTATATGTAGTAGTATTTTAATTACTTAATTCATAATTAATTCAGCCAACATAGAGGACGAAAATAATATGCAAACCATCTAAGTAGCACGGAAACGGGAAACGGGAAACAGGAAACGGGAAACGCGAGAAACATAATTTCTACAAAATATAGGATACGAAACGTGGGGGAAACACGTAAATATTATAAAATATAAGGATATATTTATAAATATTTTTTAATATATGTATACAAGTTTTTCCATATGCACATGTTTTTTTCCATATAATTTGTTTAGTAACCAAATAATAAAATCACTCTACATGTTCGAATTTAGATATTATTTCATATTAGTACATAATTAAACATAAAATGTACGGAGTAATACATTTGTAGCAATACATTGCATTACGAAATGTAACAAGTGTTGCTGCTGAGAAATACCACAAAAATTCACTATTAAAAAAAATTATTTTCCACCACAGAATCTTTAAAAAATAAAAAAATAGGAATCTGAGGTTTCCGAAACGTAGTGAAACGGGTTTCCATAATTTCTTAATTATGGAAACGGCTCCGAAACGGGAATTTGAAGTTTCCGAGTTTCCGAAACGCTTCTGAGTTTCCGACACGTGGATGTTGGGATCGTTTCTTCCGTCTCTAGCTCAGGTCTTTCTATACAAAGACTCACATACGCCACACTAGGGGAAACTACAACACATCCCTATTTTACTCTCCACTAAGGACCTCTCTACTCTCACACAAAGGAAGAAGAATGGAGCTCTGCTCTCTGGAAATGTTACTCTCGCAGGCTTATCTCACAAAGGCAAGGGAGTGTTGACTTTATAATAGGCTGCCAGCCTATTGAGAAGTCACGGGCAAACACAAGGACAATCACGGGTGTGGCAAAGGACACTCACGGGTAAGCCAAGACAGGATGCAGCGGACAGAGTGGGGCTGACTCCAGGTAAGTCAACATGTATATAATTGATCAGATAATATACCAAGGTAACAAAGAGGGAATAAATTAATAGGGTGCAAGCCTCAGCTAATAAAGTGGAAGAGAGGCCTTGGTAGGACCAATACCTCCAACATTCTCCACCTTATTGGTCCTAGGTGGTGTAGAGTAACAATACAAGGTAGTGACAAGACTCATCATTGCCGGGTCACCCGAAATATCAACCGATAAAACGGGCAAACACTTTATTACGCAACACACAGTTATCCACAGTCAAAGTTTAACACGCGTTTACAGGACAAGTGCTTCTCAGCAGAAAGACACTTGGTACCCATACCCGCGGGGTTAAACTCGGACGGGATCTTGCACAGCTTGACTCCACCTGCATCAACAGTATCACGTATGAAATGGAACCTAACATCAATATGCTTAGTTCTATCATGGAATACAAGATTTTAGCAAAGTTGGATAGCCGATTGGCTATCCGAGAAAATGGTAACTCCCTGTTTGAGAAACCCAATTTCGGAGACAAGGCGTTTGAGCCAGATGGCTTCCTTAAACGCTTCTGTGAGTGCAACATACTCAGATTCAGTGATAGAGAGGGCCACAATGGGTTGCAGTTGAGACTTCCAACTAATGCAAGAGTCACACAAAGTAAAAACATAAGAAGTGGCTGCAGTTGGAGGTCATCTTGACGAGGCGCACCTTTCGGTATTTTTGTTTTAAATTTCCGGGTACTTTTGAAAATCGGAGTTACTTTTAACGGTCTTTTTCAGTCATTTTTAACGGCGTGACTCTCGTGATAACTAAATTCAAACATATGAATCACTTTGGTAAAGAATAAAACACATGACCCTATCTGAAAACGGATCTAACCACAAATATCTTTTCTGTATTTTTTTTCAAAAATTTAAGTACAAGTTAAAATATCTATTTTTATGCTTTGTTTGCAACCACTTGTGCTTAAATAAAATCACTTTTTGATAAAAAGTGATTAGTAGTAAAAGTTGGTAGTATTTGGTAAAATAAGTGTTTTTTTGTGCAGTAGAAAAAGTAAAAAGTAAATTCTACACGGAAGCCGAGAAAGTAAAGTTGGTAGTATTTAGTAAAATAAGTGTTTTTTTCTTTAAAAAAAAACCCAAAATCACTTTTTTTAGTGGTTGTAAACAAAGCTTAGTGAAGGTTAAAACATCCTAACTACTGGTCTCCAAGCCAAAAAAACTACGGAGTAGTCTATACGACTGTCATTAGTAATCCGTTCAGTAGAAATTAATTAATCGTTCATATCTGAAATTAACAGCTCAAGAATCCAATACCTGCGAAGTCAATCGCGTGAGTGCTTTATCTCTGTAACCATCTTTGTTCTTTGATTTTGTTTCTCCAAACACATTTTTCGATCGTGTTATTATAGATCTAAAGTTCTAAACAAATGTACTCTGTCTGATGTCTAGATTGTCTTTGTTCGTTTATGGTCTTAAAACGGTTTAGATTTAAAAATGTGCGTAGCTCTTCAGTTCGTTGATTCCTTGATAAAAATAAGAAAATACCAAGGTAGCTATGTCTATTGTGATTACTCGAATGTTGTTTAGCACACTGGTACTCGAACTTTCTTGATTTTGCGGCTGTGGACCTTATTGACACAATCAGGGCAAGTTTAGTTATGTTTTAATTTGTTAGGACCCGAATTCATCTTTTATATTTAACACGTGCAGCTAGATTTCAATCATACCCAAGTTAATTACATCATATATAGTGCTCAGAAAGTTGCAGTTATAGTGTGAAGAACTTATTTAAGCCATGGTAAAGGACACCGAATACTATGATATCTTGGGGGTAAGCGTAGATGCCACACCTGCAGATGTTAAGAAAGCGTACTATATCAAGGTAAATACTCATTTTTTGAATGAAAGTTGTGTATTTACAAAAATCGTTTCTTTGCATTTTAGGATTTCATTTTCCCTTGAATTGCGTAAGAAGATAACAAAACATTGTGAAACGTAATAGTCTCTGTAGCTCTGGATTTCTCGTGCAGCCCTTGGCTGCTACATTGTTAAGAAACTTAATGCACAAGTAGCTTTTGACTTACCTATTTGTTTGGAAGGAGGCTGGAAATGCTTTTACTTTCAAGAAATTCAACCCATTCAGCCATTACCCTTTACAGAGCGGGCTCTAAGTAACTTATCATTGTTTCTTCTGCTAGGCAAGGGTAGTTCATCCAGATAAAAATCAGGGGGATCCACAAGCAGCTCATAAATTTCAGGTAATTTTGTCTATGTGAATTTAACTATTTATGTATCTCTTTAAGATGTTTTTCCTGGCAGTGATTGCATCTTGGTAGAAAATATTTGAAGTACATTGGGTTCTTGACTTCTTGTAACTCTAAATGTTCTGAAATATCATACTAACCGCACTTCAGCGTCATTTCCTCTTAAACTAATGAGAAATCAAACCAATGAGCAAACATTTCTTTGGTTATTCTCTGAGTAACTTAACATGTACTTTTACTGCTTCTTCATGAATATTTTAGGTGCTTGGAGAGGCTTATCAGATCCTGAGTGACCCACATAAACGTGAAACCTATGACAAATATGGGAAAGATGGAGTACAGCAGTAAGTATTATAGGAATTGACTAGGATCAGTATGTTTATAGTTAAATCTTTGGAGGAGAACGTTTTCTAATATTCAAGAAAATATTTTCCTTTGAGTCAAACCTTATGTTATACATTCAAGTCCTTATTTTACAGGAACCATTTTCTACAAAAACTCCACTACAAGTTATTTTCCATGAAACAAATGGAGCCTAAAGCGGGACTGATTTGTTATGTTTTTATTTTGGATTTTTAGGGACACAATGGTGGACCCTGCAGCAGTTTTTGGAATGCTATTTGGGAGTGATTTCTTTGAAGATTATGTAGGACAGTTTTTATTGGCTTCTTTGTCAGTTGTTGAAGCTGAGGAGGAATCCACTCCACCTGAGCTCCGCAATAAGAATGTTCAGGAAAAATTGAAGGTATGAACTACTTTAACTTTAACCATGGATGGTTAGGTTAATCATTCTGTATAGTAGTTGAAACTCTCATCGCACTGGTGGTACAGGCTTTACAGAAGGAAAGAGAAGTGAAGCTTGTAACAATTTTGAAAAATCATCTCCATCCATATGTTGAAGGTCATGCTGATGAGTTTTTAAGCTGGGCAAAATCCGAAGCAACCCGTCTCTCTCAAGCTGGTATTACTACACCTATCTTTTTTTAGTACATAACTTACAAGAGTTTTTGGCAAAATCATTTTTGTGCAGAAGAGTTTTAAACAAAAGATATCAAGGTGATTTTGCCCTTATCTATTTTTTATACAATGGGAAGTAGAATCGTAGAAGAGTCAAACTACATCATTGAAGTTGTAAGTAAAACAATTGAGTACACTTCACAGAACCAAATAGAATTCTTTTGTTGAAAGGACCAGAAACAAGCAACTAGTTCCCATTAAGAAGAATGATAATTGATTGAAAGTTGAATGTTTATGCCAAAGATACGAGAGCATTACAAAAGAAGTATTACAGGGTTGTTGATTTATTAAGGCATGTGTTATGTGTTTTTTATATGCCTTAATTGTGTTAAAGGGTGATGCAATCTTGGTGGAGCCTATGCATATACGAAGTATACAAGCATATGTGCTTAGTTGTGTTTTCGAAGAGTTTGTTAGAGAAAAGTCAATATCCATTAGTCTATTTATTGCTCTTATCTCGAGATACAAGTTAGAGTAAAGTCAAACTCATTTCTCTCTCTCTTTTTCTTTTATCTTTTTATCTTCTTTATCTTTCTATGTTCTTGTGTTACTTTTATCTTTTATCTTTGTTATGTTCTTTTATCTTTTTATCCTTTATCTTTCTTATGCTCTCAGCTCTAATATTATTTTTATCTTATATTTATCTTTATCTTATCCATTTGATCTTACCTTGTCTTTTTATTTTTCTAATCTTTCTTCTCTTCTTGGCTCTGATATCATGGATCAATTCATGTTAGCCGACCCTAAAATCTTTTGGGAATAAGGATTGGATGTCGTTGTTGTTGTAAGGCGATTGAATTGAGAGTTTATGTAAGAAACTTGGAGCATAATATGCTCCAACCTGGGGGGGGGGGGGGTGATTATTATTAAAATGTGTGCTGTCCTAATGAGCTGCCCGTTGTAGCATATGTGTATATTTAAGTGGCGTAGTTGTGTCTTTAAATGTGCAGTTTAAAAAACGGTCTAGATTACATAGTACGTAGTAGTATATATTTATTTACTATCTTTTAGTTTTCTCTTATTTTAGCTTCATCCTCTCCAGTTGTTGATAGAATTTAGTTTATTAATCATCACTTGTTGGATCTTCAAGTCCTAAAGCCTTCACTCTTCATACCCTCTGTTTACTCAAGGTTTTTTTAGGAAGTGCTAGAGTTTTTTACTACTCATATAATTCCTAATTTTCAAGGAAATTCTCTTACCTTATTGCAGCCAGATTGCCCTGGATTAGTCACTGACCCTTGTTCTAGTAGTTAAACAATTTTACATTAAATTTGCTGGAAACTTTCGAGCGTACGATCTCATCTACACCATTAACAACCATGTTTAATGTTCTACATTGTGAATTTATTCATAAAGTCATATTTCCCTCGCTATCAAAATAGGAATCTGAGAAAATATGATAAAATCTGCTCAGAATCACACATAAAGTTTAGTTTTAACTAATTTTTCTATATTTTAGACTCCCTTAATCAGTACATTTTAGATTGGTCACTGTTCCTACCCTGCACGTGTTTTAACTATTGTTTTATAGTTAGAAACCATATCTTATGAAATGTAGGAGATGCTACATACTTAAATGCATAGGAAGGACTTACAGTTTTCCTATTCTTCAGCTTTTGGTGAAGCTATGTTACATACTATTGGTTACATTTACACAAGGCAAGCTGCCAAAGAGATTGGAAAAGACATACGTTTCATGAAGGTGCCATTTTTAGCAGAATGGGTACGCGATAAAGGACACCGCATAAAGTCACAAGTTGGTGCTGCTTCAGGTTGACAGTGACTATAATTTGCAAGATGTTGTTCAAATCTCAAAGTCTACGGTGCACGACTAACATATTTTTGTTGTCTACTAATTCCTTACAGGCGCCATCTCTTTGCTTCAAATACAAGAGGAAGTGAGGAAGTCGAGTGAGGGAGAGGTTAAAGAAGAAAGTGTAATCAAAACTCTAGAGGAGAAGAAAGATGCCATGCTTAATTCCCTTTGGCAGATTAATGTTGTTGATATTGAAACTACCCTGTCTCACGTTTGTCAAGCAGTACGTACTTTTTGGTACCTTCATTACTTACAATGGTGAACTTTTTTTTACACACCCACACAAACACATACATATACATTTTTTCCACACACACACACACACACACACACACACACACACACATATATATATATATAGAGAGAGAGAGAGCTCTTCCTGTCCGGAATTTCCGGACAGGAGCCCCGTCTGGCCACCTCAATTTGAGGTGGTTCCCAATGGTATTTTTTACTCAAATTTTTTGTGTATGTTCCTCATCAAGTCTAGTTCATCCATACCAAATTTCAGCCAAAAATTCAACCGGGAAGGTCGTCAAATGATTTTTGCAAGTTAACTGGTCCGGAATATACATATTCCGGACCAGTTAACTTGCAAAAATCATTTGACAACCTTCCCGATTGAAGATTTTGCTCAAATTTGGTATGGATGAACTAGACTTGATGAGAAACATACACAAAAAATTTGAGCAAAAAATACCACCGGGAAGGCCCCCAAATGGAGGAGGCCGGACGGGGCTCCTGTCCGGAATTTCCGGACAGGAATATTCCTCTATATATATACACACATAAATACATAGGTATACATACATATAAATATAAATGTATGTGCGTGGTAAAAAAAGTATGTGTGTGGTATATACATATTTCTTTAGCAACACCAAAAATAACATTACCCCATTGCCGCAAAGGCTCCCCACCTATGGTGGGTTAAGGGGGGTTAGATGTACGCACCCTTACCCAATGGTCACAGGCCTACTATAAGTTAGTAATTGCAGTGTTTATTGTCATTGCAATTGGGTTGATATTTCATTACATTTTTGTCTTGAAAATAAAATTAACATTTTCCCCAAGTTTATTTAATACTCATATTATCTAAGGAAATTTACCTTTTATTTGCAATTTGTCAATTATATTATTTTTCTAGATGACTATAACTTGGTTTGTTGGTTGGACATTATGTCACTATGTCAGTTAGGACTTAAGAGCAGAAATTTGGGCCATATTTATGAAAGACTTTCTTTCTTTTTTAAACCTCAATCAGGTTCTAAAAGATCCTACTGCCACAAAGGATGTTCTGAAGCTGCGGGCCAAGGCAATGAAGAAGTTGGGAACAATTTTCCAAGTAAGTGCGATATCTGCCCCCTTGCAAATACTGGTAGTGGATAGATGGGAGCACAGTTTCGAGTTTTGAATAGGGAAAACTATCAATTTGACCCTCGTACTATAGGCGAACCGTCAATTACGTCCTCGTACTTTAGAAACACTCAATTGAGCCCGCCAACTCTTCAAAAACATTCAATTAAGGCTTTGTAACCGGTTGTCTCCCGGTTTGCCGGTTGCTCACTGATCTGGCCGCTTACGTGGAGGTCATTTACCTATCTAGTAAGCTGAGTCAATATTTTTTAAACACGTCAGCCACCTACCCTATCCTTCCCCAACATTGCTCCGTAGCCCTAACCACCTTTATTTGAAGGTTTGTGAAGAAGGGAAGCCGCCATAGCTGGTAAACAAAGTACAAAGAACAAGATAAGAAGGGCGGGGAGATGGGGGTGCTGCTAAATCTGGGTAAAAAAAGTGGAATTTTTATGTTGTTGGGTGGATTGTTGGTGACTGCCCTTCTTTCATTAGCTTTTAGAAAGCGGAGGAAACCGACCAGAAAAGTCAATGGCGGAGATGACTATCCTTCTTACACCAGCCACTGATATTCTCTCCCCCACAAAATCAGTTTTCCACCTTCAATCTTTATCTCCATCGGAAGCACAAAGTTGGGTGGAAACTCCCTGGTATCTTCTTTCTTTGTTTGAGTGAATGAAATTGGATCGGTTGTAAATCTGCTTTCTATTTCTTAACCCCCTTATCCTCTGTATACAGCTCTACGGAGTACGGACCAAATTTCTCAAATGCAGAAGGGCTATGGCCGGAGCATGTTGGGGAAAGGAAGGAGCTGATGTGTTCAAAAAATAATGACTAAGCTTATTAGACAAACCGGGAGACCACCGGTTACAAAGCCTTAATTGAATGATTTTGAAGAGTTGGCGGGCTCAACTGAATGTTTCTAAAGTACGAGGGCGTAATTGACGATTTGCCCATAGTACGAGGGCCAAATTGATAGTTTTCCCTTTTTGAATATGGGGGGTCAAGACGGACTGTTTGGATGGGGGAATACTTTCATGTATATAATTTTAAATTTTGTATGAAACTCTATAATAAATCTCCTGATTTCCTTCTAAATATTTTTCCGTTATTCCACAGGGTGCAAAGGCAAATTGTGCTAGAGAAAGCAGCCTTCGTCACGAAACCACCGATATTGTAGATGTCAATTCATCCTCATCCTCAAAGTGAGGATTGTATTTTTTTTTAGGGTGTATCAGTTTTTTTTTTTTCATGCAAGCTGTAATTGTATGCAGCTCTTAATGCTTCATATTTATGTTATATGTACATGATCAATGTTAATTAGTTGCTGTGACATGCCAGAATACCTCGTTGATTCAGTGTTTAATTTCAATGTGGTTGCTTTATATATGGAGTTTGTAATAATGTCTCAATTGGACTGGACGCCTGGTAAATGGTTCTGCAATTTTATTTATCAATTAAATATTTTGATCATTTCCGCTTTTGGGGATTCATTGCATGCATGGCTAGATTAATTTAGGGGTGTTTGGGATTCATTCTACTTCTGTTTGTTCTTAAGAAGTAGAATCATAACATGGGATTAGTTTAGATTCTTGAGATAACTTATCTCAATTGTTTGTGCAAAATTACCAGAAATGTGTAATATTTTGATTTTTTATCAGAAAAATAATATAAATACTCACTATTTTAAATTGTGTGTCAAACCTATTTGAGAGTACGTCACAATTGTCAGGATTCTAGACACTTATCCACTTCATATCTACCAAAATATAGAACAAAATTGTGTTGAAATATTAAAGATACATATATGGGGCTGTGGAGAAATCCATGGGATTGTGAAGAGTGTGGGTCCCACGGAAAAAATGATTCATGCCGCTATGCCAGGTGTGCAACGAGGTATATCGCGTGGCAAGCGGTGGCTTTTCCTCAAGCGCGACGTACTGACGTGGGATGATTTTGTCTTATCAACTCATTGCATGTGTCGCCCATGCAAAAATTATACGCCTTTTTACTATTTTAATTTACTTATAAAATAATTAATAAACACCGCTTATATAAACATTATTAATCTGCGGGAACACAATCACTCAATCCCTGAAAACTTTGGTAGACGGTAGACCTTCCTATCATAAGCTTAAAATTATTAAATAAAAATACAATCTTTATAGTGCTATTAATAAAAAAAATTGTTAGTTAATTAGGCGTAATGGCGCATCTATATGATGAGCGGGGCAATCCAATCCAGCTGACGGACGAGCACGGCAATCCCGTCACCCTCACCGACGAGCACGGCCGCCCCATGCACCTCACCGGCGTTGCCACCACCGTCGATTCCCCCAGCGACCTGCTAGTTGCTGACACCACTGTTGGCGTCATCACCACCTTTGGCCCAGCTGGGGAGGCGGTTACGTCTGAAACCGCCGTAGTACGAGATCATCAACACCCAGAAGTACTATTGGAGCCACCTCCTCCTTATCAACTGCATCCGCAGCAACTGCCCCGCACCGGCAGTTCAAGCTCCAGCTCGGTAATACTCCCCGTCAAAATTTGTTTTGCAAAGTCAATATTTTTTGGTCAACTAATAAAAAAAGTCAATCTTCTTTATAGATAATTAATTCAATTTTTAATGATTAAGATTTATTACACATTGATAAACTACCCTAAAATCTCTTCAAAGTTGTAAACTCCAAATTAGAATATAATTACAAATTGACATCCTAATTAAGTGAACAAAATGAAACTGTTTGACTAAAAAAAGTCAAATTCCCAAATCAATTTGGGACATAGGTAGTATAATTATTGACAAGATTATCTTTTTTTGTAACGGTAATTAATTTGTTGTAAAATGGTAAATTTCATAGGAATGGAAGTCCAAATGGAGCTAGACTAGACAACTTGAGGTGAATAATTGATCTAAATGGACCATAAAGTCCTAAATGGGTTACTTATATATCGAGGCTAAGTTATCCCTTCTAAAAAATTTGAATTTAATCAGTAATAAGAAGTTTTCCTTATCCAAATGCAAGGCCGGTTTAAATGGATTTTGTATCTTCTCTAAAAAATGGATGTTGTAAAGGAAATACTTTTAATATGGGACTCGCGAAATGAGACTTGTCACTTTGAGAAGGCGACGTACATGTGGGAGTATCTCTTTGATCCTTGACTTTCTTTGATCAAACAACTTTAAAAAATATGGACTATCATCACTTTGGGAAAGGGTAATTTGTTATATATTCCCTCGTCCCCATGGTTTTAAATTGCGGTCGCGGTTGTGGTCATTGCGGTTGCGGCTAATGCGGCCACTGCGATGCGTATTGCGGCCGCTGCGGCGTGAATTATTTTCAAGTTCACACCAGAAAGAATGATGGATAGGCGAAGGCGTTGCGGTCTGTTGCGGCACGTCGCGGTTGATTGCGGCCTATTGCGGGATGTTGCGGCACCGTCGCGGTTACGTTGCGGTTTTGGCCGTGATTCCAAATCATAAGGATGTTGCGGGCTGATGCAGTTGCGGTGCCCTCAGAAACGGCAAAATTGCAGCCGCAATTCCCGTTGCGGTCCGCAATTTGAAACCATGCTCGTCCCTATAAAATGTGGTCATCTTTAACTTTAATTTCTTTGGTAAAAGTTCTTAAAATTTGACAATTATTAACCAAGAAATTAAATATGGCCAAGTTTTGTGGGGTATCTTTTTCTCTAAAATTCTTTCAATTTTAGATTATGATTTTCGTAGAAATATATTACTCGATCGTATAACTTATACGGAGTGTTATTTTGTTCAAATTTTACCACTTACTCCGTATTAAAGGCAGTCAAAGACCATCATGACCATTTTTTCTGAAATGTGGAGAGTACGTATATACCTTAATCAAATGGTATATACCTTAGTCAAATTGATTTTTCGTGTAATGACAACCAACTTTTAATACTAAATTATTTTGAATAAGAAAATTATATCAAAATGTTCCTTATTTTATGACGAACCTTTTTTGGGTGGCTGAGAGGTTTTTTCCTATATAACCTTGATGGAATGTTTATAGTCAGGTGAAGAAGGGGATGGACAAGGGGGGCGAAGAAGGAAAAAGAAAGGGCTGACGGAGAAGATAAAGGAGAAGCTGTCCGGGAGTAAGCACAAAGAGGCGGCCGTAGAACCACCGCTCAACGGCAGCGCAACCTCAACCACTACTGATAAGCACCACCATCACAATCAGCACGATCACAAGAAGGGTATGATGGAGAAGATCAAAGAGAAATTACCCGGCACCACCCATCACTAATTATCTTAGTTTCGAACCATATATTTCATTAATTAATAGGCACCATCTTGTGATGATCTCATCTTATATGCACATTTCTAAAATGTGCTCGTCCTTTTCCCTTTGTGTTTTGTTGTAGTTTTTTTTTTGTATTTGCATTGCATGTCTAGCTGATGCATTTATGTATTTCGATCTTATGCACAATAATAATTAAGGGCTCTCCATCATACAAGAAAGACATAACCACCGATCGATCAATTTATGTGTTTAGATATGATGTCTCAATAAGTCACGAGTACAAAACTATGATTCATGAAAAAATTGGCACTATCTATCTAAACATTGAAGTAGCAAAAATACATTTCGTTCTAAATGATTCGTCTATAAGTTTTCAATAGATTTGGAACTCTCTTCAATTCGTGTAATATGGAACTCTCTTCAATGATAAGTATAAGCATGCACTAAGCTTACAGCCATTCCAGATGGAAATCGATCTGGATGGATTGCACGTAAACGTACATAGAGAATTAAAGCCTTTGTGATGGCCAAGTGAGCTAGTGAGCTACCATATGCATATCCAATTCTCATACCTCAGGTGAGTATGAATCCATATATTTTAATTTGCCATGGTTGGGTTGATTGAAAAGTGAATTCATGATGATTTATTTGCTCTTTAAAGGTTTGATTAGTGGCTACGTACTGAGGTTTGTTCTATAGCCACCCGTGATTATTTTGATACTTTTGGTGTAGTTTCTAAAGGATAGACAATCCTTAGACTTATATATTGTCCTTGGTATTTATCTTTCGCGTGGTACTCTGATCTTCATGAATTATTAATTTTTGTCCCAACCTCCGTCTTATGTTAGTAAAATGGACCCTTGTGCAAACAAGGTGAAAGAGGATTTGCTCAAAAAAAATTGTGACTTTCTATTTCGAAGTCTCTTTTCATGATAAAGTCATTGAATTGTTTTTTAGTATGCGTTGAGAAAAGCTGTCGCTTCTCACTAGGAAAATACTCCTAACGGTAATTTTCTTAGGTTGCGCACACTTCCGCTCGATCTTAGCTCTCAAAAGACTTCATCAATCTCTGATTTTCTTCAGTTTCTTAGCTCAAATTTCTCCCAGCTTTAATACCTAGCCTTTGGATTTTAAAGATTTGGGGAAATTTTAAGCAAAAATTGAAGAAATTTGAGTTCCAGTTCGCAGAAGTACTGTTCACGAACGAATTGCAATTTCAGATTTGATTCATCTGGTGATTGTTTGAGGAAACGAAGAACTGCTCTCTGGCCACCACGCTCCGCCGTTTGGAAGCTAGCAAAGATCCCTTAGGCGGTGCACTGTTCACAGGGGAGGCGTTGACTTCATTTTTCTCAGAAATCTGTCGTTCAATCTCAAACCTGAGCAAAGTCCGAGGTGCGTCTGGTCCAAGCGAGCATTTTGGTACCGAGTTCGAGCTAAACAACCAAGTATTCAGAATTTTTGGAGCTGATTTCTGGGAGTACTGTACTGGTCATCTTCTCTAAATTCCTGGGAGCAAAAACATGTGCACCTTTGACTAGTTAGCAATTTGTTCTGGATTGCTTACTTATCCGTTGGTCAAACTGAACATACTGGCGTGTTCCTATCTTCAAGGGATACTTGTGAGACTATTTTCACAATTTTTGAACAAGTGTGTGATGTGCTGATTGCTATGACAAGGAACAATAAGCAGTCCCGCACTCCCCCCCCCTAAAGATACTGCCTTTGATGAAAAAATAAAGATGCTGAATGCTAGAAAAATGGAGCTTGAAGCTAGGAAGCAAGGAGGGGAAGCAAATACAAAGGTCCTACCTTTGTATGTTCCAAAAACGGCACCAAAGCTTACTGTGAGTTCCAATTCACAATCAAAGGGGCCAACCCCTTCAAATGTGGATCCTTCCAATGAGATTACATTTGAGAAACAAACTGCCTCCTCTAGTGCTATGTCCCCTACTGATATGGCAACTTCAAAGATTGATGGATTAGTAGAAGATGAGTCCGTGACCATTGGATCCGTTGATACCAATTCAATTGCTAGCCATGATGATGACGTCGAGGAAGAGCAAGAGGGAAAGAAGACGTGGACAAATCTGTTTCAAAACAATCGCTCTCTTTCTCATGGCATGAAACTAGACTACATCCCACCCAATGGCGATGTGGTTGATTTTTCTAACCGAAAGGTACCCTCTATCATTGATATATGGGGGTATTGCTTGGTTGGGTTCTTTACGGGGAGATTCCCCGGAACGAAGGCGGTGCATGAACTTATTGGCACTTGGGGAGTTAACTGTAAAGTGAGATCACACGACAAAGGTTGGACAATTTTCCAATTCAAAAATGATGAGGACCGAACTAAGGTTATATCCAGTGGGCCATATTACTCCTATGGTAAAGCGTTAATTCTCAAAGTATTGTCTGAAGATTTTGAGGTTGACGGTGAGGAATTCTTGCGAGTTCCTATTTGGGTAAAATTTCCCGGTCTCTCGGTAACTCTATGGAACAAACCGGAGATTAGTGAACTTGCCTCACGAGTGGGGGTTCCCATAATTGCGGACCAGGTCACGCAAACCAAAGCAAGGGCCCATTTCGCCCGTGTACTTGTGGAGGTGGATGTTACTAAGCAGCCGGTGCTTGATATTCCAATGATTCAACCTTCCGGGAAAAAGAGGAACCAATACGTGATTTACGAGACATATCCTAATTATTGCTATGAGTGCAAAAAATTTGGGCATAATCCTTTTCTTTGCAACGTGCTTCATCCCAAATTAAAGGAGGATGATCAAAAACAATTGCATCCTACTAAGAAGACTTTGAATCCGATTGTTGAAGGGGAAACCATGGAGGAACCTACTGTTCTAAAGGAACCCGAGGAGGCTCCCTTTCAACTTGTGAAGCCAAGGAGGAACAAAGCAAAAGCCTCTTCTTCCAAAACCTTGAAGGAACCGGCTGCCTCTAAACCGAAGGACCCCTTGGTCCCAAAGAAGAACCCGGATAAGGAGTTTGAATGGAGAGGCCGAAGAATTGTTAACCTACATGAAATGCAACCGGACGATATAGTTACAAATTTTGTGGCCGATGAGCAAGTTGCCTTTGTAAAGAAACGTCATCAAATAAAGAGCCACATACCCGTGGCTAGGCTTGACTTACACTCACTCAAGGAAGCACACAAAGAGGAGCAGGCTGTCACCTTCACGGATTCTTGCTTGGTGGCTCTTCCCGGAGTGAAACGCACTAGGACATGGTACGCTTTTAATAAGAATATTTTTATACCTAATGTTGCTTCTTTCTTTGATCCTAAGGCTAGGCATAATGTGGAGTTTGCACAAGCAAAGGAGCAACAAAGAATTAGTGAAGCCAAAAATGCATCCAAGGCCAAAAGCTCGGCCAAAGCCACTGCTCTTAAGCCTAGGCCCTTTGTGGCAGAATCTCTTGAACCGGAGGAGGTTTTGGGTGAAAGGAAGGTGATGAACGTGTACGAGATGGATGAGGAAGATGTGGTAACTAGGATGACTTTTGATGATGAAGGAGTAAGGACCGTGTATGTCATCAAGGGGGAGGAACTTCCTCTTAGTCACTATCCACAACGAGTGGGTCCAGACTTCAAAAAGGTGGCTGGAAGCTAAGTGATAAGCCCGGGATGAATTTCACGCACCAATGTTTGCGTTCGCTTCCAGGAGTCAAACGTGCATCTTCATGGTATACTTTCGACACGTCACTCTTTGTTCCTAATGTTGTTGCGTTTTTTGATGAAAATAGCATAGAAAACAAGGAGTATTACAAAGGGATGATGAGGAGGAAAGAAAAAGAAAAGGAAGAGATTGTGGAGGAATCGGAGGATGGCCACACCTCCAACTCCGACGATTGTGATGATTAAAGTCGTCGTGTGGAATGTGAGAGGTTTGAATAAACCCTCCAAACACTCTACTATATCTAATTTTGTTAAATCTAATCATGCGAGTTTATGTTGTTTTTTGGAAACAAAAATGACAAAAAATAACATTTTTAATTACGTTACTAATAAATGGCCGGGTTGGTCTTTTGAAACTAATTTTGATTTTATTGAGGGGGGGCGTATGTTGGTTTTTTGGAATCCGAATTTTTTAACGTGTAATATGATTGAGATGGGGGCTCAACATATGCACTTCAATTGTCTTTGCCGCACAACACAAACTGTTTTTCAAGCCACTTTTATCTATTCACTTTACACCGTGTTGGAGCGTAAGGCTTTATGGGAACACCTTGCCTTACTTGGGGACCAAATTGCGGACCCTTGGCTCATTGCGGGTGATTTTAATTGTGTGTGTTCTCCCAACGAGAGGGTTGGTTCTTCCACACCCTCGGCTTACCTTATGAAGGATTTAATTGATTTTAAAATCCGTGCTAGCCTAGAGGATGCCCCCTCCACGGGAGAAATCTATACATGGAATAGGGGCTCTCTTTGGGCTAAGCTTGACCGGGTTTTGTTAAATGAATCTTGGGATCATTTGGGAATTAATTGTAAGGCCCATTTCGAGAAAATGGAGGTTGAGTTTGATCACACGGCTACCGTTGTATCTATACTCAATAATTCCTCTTTTAGGCCGAAGTCTTTCAAGTTTTTTAATATGTGGATGCAACATGACGGCTTCACTAACCTAGTTTTGCAGCATTGGAATATTTCCATTAATGGTACGGCTCAATATCAAATTGTTAAGAAACTTAAGTTGCTAAAACAGCCCCTTAAGAATCTTAACAAGTTGGAATTCGGCCATATTTCTACTAAGGCAAAGAGTGCTAAGGATGACTTCAAAAGGCTGAACAAGAGGTTTCTTATTTCACCACATGATGCCGAACTTAAAGAACAAATTAAGGAGGCTAGGAAAAGGGCTACATTCCTTGGTGAGGCTGAATGTAGTTTTTTCCAACAAAGGGCAAAAGCGACGCATATACTTCAAGGCGACAAGGGAACAAGATATTTCCATGCGATTGTCAAGCGTAATATGTCCCGGAATGCCATAACCTCCTTAACTTTGGAAGAAGGCAGCCTCACAAAATCCGTTGATCATGTTGCTAATGAATTTGTCAAGTTTTTTGTGAATTTATTTGGTACCGAGATGGGGAACCTTTCCATTGACCATTCGGTTCTAGGAACCGGCCTTTTGATTGAACCAAGTGTTCATGATGGCCTTATCTCTCCGATAACTAACAAAGAAATTAAAGATGCTTTGTTTGATATTGGGGATGATAAGGCACCGGGGCCGGACGGTTATTCCTCGGCTTTTTTCAAGAAGAATTGGAATGTGGTTGGGGAGAACGTGATTCGTGCGACTAAAGAGTTTTTTAACTCGGGAAGGATGCTTAAACAGTTAAACCATACTGTGATAGCACTTATTCCTAAAACTAGTCACTCCCCAAAGGTCTCTGATTTTAGACCTATTTCTTGTACTAACGTGCTTTATAAGATTATTACAAAGATCATCGCGGCAAGAATGACCCCTACCCTCTCGGGTTTGATCAACAAAGCACAAGGTGCTTTTGTGGATGGCCGCCTTATGTTTGATAACATTTTCCTTGCCCAGGAACTTGTTAGAGGATACAATAGGAAGCGAATCTCACCCCGTTGTATGATAAAGGTGCATCTGCGTAAGGCCTACGATACGATCTCCTGGGACTTTCTTGCCAATGTTTTGAGGGGCTTGGGCTACCCCGAGCGGTTTGTTGGGTGGATCATGGAGTGTGTTTCCACCGCTTCCTTTTCTGTTTCTCTGAATGGTACTTTGCATGGGTTTTTTAAGGGCAAAAGAGGCATTAGGCAAGGGGGTCCAATGTCCCCGCTGCTCTTTGTTGTGTGCCTTGAATATTTCTCACGGCTCTTGACCATGAGAGCTAATGTTTCTGGATTTAATTATCATCCTCTTTGTGGTTCCTTGAATATTACTCACTTGGCCTATGCGGATGATCTTATGCTCTTTTCAAGAGGTGACAAACATTCCATTGGAATTTTGGTCAACGCTCTTAAAGAGTTTGGGGACGTTTCTGGCCTTAGAGTTAATCATGATAAGTCCAATATTTTCGTTGGTGGGGTTAATGGTTTTGACTTGCAGAATATTTTAGATCTTGTGGACTATGGTCGTGGGGTGTTCCCGGTGAGATATCTTGGGGTCCCGCTTGCACCGCTTAAAGTCTCTGTGGCTCAATATGCTCCCCTTTTGGAGACGGTTAATGATTTTCTAAAAACTTGGAATACTAAGACTATTTCCTATGCTGGTAAGCTTGAGCTAATTCGGTCTGTGATCCAAGGGGTCCAATCATTTTGGCTCCAGGTCTTCCCGGTTCCCATTACTATTTTGGATAGGATTGTTTCGATCTGTCGTATCTTTCTATGGGGTGGTAAGTATGCCAAGGTGGCCTGGGATGACATCTGTCTCCCTAAAGAGGAAGGGGGTTTGGGACGTCCACATGAAGAAAGACACCCTTTGGGTGAGGTGGGTGAACGGGGTCTACCTTAAGTGTAGGACCGTGTGGGACTTTGTCCCACACACCCGGGATTCACAGCTCATGAAGCGGTTGAGTCTCATTCGGGATAAGATTCGGAGTTGCTTTAATAATTTGAATGATACTATCTTAGGCCTTAAATCTCGTACCACTAATGGAAAATTAGCCTCCGCTAAGATCTATGAATTGTTAAGAGTCAAGGGTGAAGTTAGGACTCCTATGAGTTTCATATGGAAATCCTACATCCCCCCAAAACTCTCTTTTAACGTGTGGTTGGCCTTGAGAAACCGACTTCCTACCCAGGATAGCCTTGGTTATCTCCACATTGTAAACAGGTGCGACTTATGCAAGGGTGGTTTGGAGACAATACCACACCTCTTTTTCCTATGCCCATTTACGTGTAGGATATGGCAGCAGATAAGGAATTGGATGGGACTCGGGCATGATATGACAACGTTGCTAAGTGCAATTAAGTGGATCACGAAGACTCATAGAGGATCGAATATGAAGGCAAAGGTTGCTCGTATTGCTTTTTGTGCGACAGTTTACTACATTTGGCATGCAAGGAACGAAGTTAGATTTGATGATGGCAAGAAGACGGAGGAGGACATTATAGCAAAGATCAAACACGTGGTTTACAAGATACTCTTTAGTATCTACCCGCATGAGTTGGTCACCTTTTGACATGGACGCTTTGAAGCCTCGGCTTTTATGGATTTGTGGATCTGTGTGCGTGCAGTCTTGCAACATCGATTTGTTTTTGACGTGTTGGGGCATTTAGTATTGTATACTTAGGCCCCAGTTTTGATTTTGACTTTGGGATTAGATCAAATAAAAACCTCTCCTAATCCCTACATTAGGTAGGGGTGGGGGGCTTTAGGAGATCTTGAACCTTTTGATGTATATTTTCTTGGGTGTTAATATATATTTACATTTCATCCAAAAAAAAAAAAGTCATTGAATTGTTTGTCGGGATTTCTTTTATACTCCGTAGTTCTTTAATTCTAATTTCACTATTCCTATATGCATTACTAATTATTCCACTAGAACTAGTTGAGGATTCAAATGTGCTGACTTCTATATGACAAACTTTAGAGCAAAGTAATTTGTGTCTCAAGCAACTCAATTTGAGAATGGTAGAATGGTGGAGCAGCGAATCGTCGATATCAATTTTTTTTAATCATGTGATTCTCGGGGTATAATTGCAAAATTTGAAGTCTTATATCTAGCGGAAAGTTTTAATGGTTGAACCTAGGGTTGTAAACGAATCGAATCGAATACTGAGTAATACTATTCATATTCGTATAACTTGACGAATATTCGTATTCGGATATTATTCGAATCTTAAATTAGATTCGTATTCGATTCGTTAATGATATTCGAATATATTTGTATTCGACAATTCGAATTGGAATATTTGTAGGGGAAATTTTTTCACACATTCAATATATCATGTTTTGTTATCATGTTTTGTATGTATTTTCTTCGATTTTCGCAAATATTTCTATTAACTGAACTATTTTAAAAATCAACTACTTCAAAAATCAATTAGAAACCCGTTCAAAATAAAGTAAACATTGTAATCACAAATATTTCTATTAACTGAACTATTTTAAAAATCAACTACTTCAAAAATCAATTGGAAACCCGTTCAAAATAAAGTAAACATTGTAATCGCAAATATTTCTATTAACTGAACTATTTTAAAAAGGGAAAGTTCCCGAAATAGGACTAAAACAGTTTGAAAATTCCAAAATAGGACTGTCATGTTTTTTATTCCCAAAATAGGAGTAATTACTGCCATGTTTGGAAAATACTGCCATGTTTGAAGTCTGGTACTGTCAAAACATGGCAGTAATTAGTCCTATTTTGGGAATAAAAACATGGCAGTCATATTTTGGAATTTTCAAACTTTTTTAGTCCTATTTCGGATAATATCTCTTTTAAAAATCAACTACTTCAAAAATCAATTGGAAACCCGTTCAAAATAAAGTAAACATTGTAAAATCAATTAATCAAAAAATCAATTACTTAAAAAAACTATTAATGAAAGCACAAAATTAATTAAACTAATAAATTTAAATTTAAATTTAAATTTAAACTAACAAAAAACTATTTTAGTTATTTTAATTTAAATTATTATAAATATAAATATAATAATCTAAAATATAATTCATGTATATACCAATCGAATATATTCGTATAACATACTAATCGAATATATGTATATTCGTATTCGTATTCGAATTTTATACGAATAACAAAACCGATTTGTATTCGTATTCATATTCAATTTTTTCGAATTCGAATCATCAATTTCAAATTCGAATCACGAATCGGATCAAAATTATTCGATTCGTTTACAACACTAGTTGAAGTATATCTCAATCCAATTAGACAAACCTTACACTCAGTTAAATTCATTCTCCCGTTGGTCCCTGAGGCTAGTTGGAGAATTTTGAGGGAAAGAGAGTAAAGTAGCATTGATACGTGTTTGGTGGGAGGAATAGAAAGAAAGGGGAGAATTGTTTTTTTTTTTTTTTGCATATCCCTTTAAATTTATTCTAGTATGATTTAATATCTGTTCCGGTTTTAATGTCAGATACAGGAAAACGGTTAGGGCCTGTTTGGATGAAGTTTTTGGAAGTGTTAGTAATGGAAGTGTTAGTAAGGGCCCGCAAGGGAATAAAAGTGTAAGTGTTAGACATAATTTATCTTGTTTGGGAGAATTAAATAAATGAAATGTTAATAATGGAAGTGTTTATAATTTTACTTTGGAGCAGAACAAACGAGTAAGGAGAAGAGACGAAAAAGGAAGACCATCAGACCCTCGTCAAAGATGCTCGAAGTGAGATGTCGAACCATTTTATATTTTTAGGGTAAATGAGAAGATAATAATTGTCCAACAACTCATAACATTTCAAATCGGGATGTTAAAAAAATGAATAATTGAAGTGTTGGGAAGATTGTTAACACTTTCTAACCGTTATTAACACTTCTTAACACCTCTTAATTTTTCTCCCAAACAAGTATTGATATTAACATTTACTAACACTTCCCCACAATTAATCCAAAGAGATGTTAATATCATATACGTGAACAGAATTATGAATTTTAAATTCTTCGAATTGAGATATTTTGAAGGAGAGCTTTATCAAATTCCTTCCCTTTCGGAATGTTTGTTGAACCAAAATTCCTTCCATCCCGTGACCTCCTTGAACCAAACAGGGGCAACTCCCTCCTTTTTCACGCGAAGAGCTTCCCCTGTTCCCTCCCAACTGAAACCCTATGCAGCCGCAATTTCTCCGTGGTCTCTCTCTACAATGCACCACCCCCGCTGCCGTTCCTCTCTCAGCTCCTTCATCTGGCGGTTCCTCCTTCTCCCCCTGCCGCAATAGTTACCGAAGGATACCCTCTTCATCTATTTCGCTCCCGTATAGACCCTTTGAACTTCCAAGAATTACCGGTGGAGTCAAACCTATGACTTTAAACTCTTCGCTCTCCAATCAGTCTGGAACTGCTGACTCGGGACTGTCCTACGATGATCTCGATCGCTTCGCCCATGTTGGAAACAAAATGGCCAACGCTGCCGGAGATGTCATTCGCAGTTACTTCCGGAAGAGCATTGACATCCATGACAAAGAAGATTTGAGTGAGATTATGTGATCAGTTATTGTGCAGTGAGTTATGTTTACTTGTGATGGAACTTTGGGAGTGATTTTTAGGAACTTGTTGTCTAGGTCCGGTTACTATTGCTGATCAAGCGGCTGAAGATGCAATGGTGAAGATAGTTCAGGAAAATTTCCCTTCTCATGCGATGTGTGTTTGCATATGGTTTGGAATATTGGTCTCTTAACTTTCCCTGTGAGTAGTGATATGGTAATCTCATAAAAACAACGCTAATTGCAGATATGGTGAGGAGAATGGATGGAAATCTAAAGAGGAGGTTGCTGACTTTGTCTGGGTTTTAGATCCAATAGATGGGACAAAGAGTTTTATTACTGGTACTCTAATTCTGATTCCCCATATGAACCATCAAAGATGAATGCCTTACCGAACTGACTATGAAATTATTCATTGTACTCAGGGAAACCCGTTTTTGGAACTCTCATAGCTTTGTTGTACAGAGGCAAACCGGTATGAGTAAGAAGCTTCTAATTCAAGTTTCAAACTACTAAGACACTGAAATGCATCAGCCAGTAAATAAGCTATTCTCTTGGCAAAACTAGAGGATTTGTATGTTCCTTTTTTGCACATAGTTCCATAATGTCTTCATGTTGTGTATTGTTTGCAAGATTCTTGGCATAATTGATCAACCTGTCTTAAGAGAAAGGTGGATCGGAGTAAGTGGGAGGTGTACTACTTTTAATGGGGAAGAAGTTCGCACACGAAGTTGTGAAAATATTTCACAAGCCTACCTGTATGTTTAGAGTATGTAATTGATGTTTTATATAATGTGTTGGATTAACATTGAAGCTAGAATTGGGCAATTGGCAGTGCTTCATCACCCTTTCTTATTTGATCTTTTTTAATTCCAGTTACACAACCAGCCCACATTTTTTCTATGGAGAAGCTGAGCCTGCTTTTGCTCGAGTTAGAAATAAGGTTCTTATTTCCAAGGAGTGGATATAAAATAAATGAATGAAATGTTAATTTTCTTTTCATTTCCAATATTTCAAATTCAAATTAAACATACTGTGTAGGTAAAAGTGCCACTCTATGGATGTGATTGCTATGCCTATGCACTTTTGGCCTCTGGATTTGTAGATCTTGTTATCGAGTCTGGACTCAAGGTAAAAGTATCTCACTGACCACGTACTATCATGTCGTATGTTGATGCTATAAATCTACTCTCTTCAATAATATCATGATGTGGTACTTATACTGTTTATATTACCATATCCTTGAGTTTTTCTGTATCGAAAGAGAACTGCATTAGCTTTTGGTTATGATTAATATCACCCCAATGTAGTGGTTCATAAATGCTGTAGCTGTTGACTCCTTTAGATAAATGAGTACCCTTGTTTGTTTTTTCATATTAATTGAAAGCAGTAAAGCACTTGAAACAACATTGATTCCTTTAGGTACTCATCATGTGAACTTTTAGTTGGACTTGTGAGAGGGTTGAATGCATCCACTAAAGAGTTTGTAAGCCTATGCTTGGAACAACAAAACAGTTGGAATAGAAAAAAGTTTCAAAGGACAATAGTTCTTAATGCTTGGTTTTGCCTTGGAAAATCACTTCTGATTAGAACATTAAAGATTTTACATGAATTCAGATCTATAAATCTATATATAATCGAAATACGGAGTATACAAAATGAGTTCAACAAATATCTGTAATTTATTATTTGAGATTGAACCTTTCTATTAATTGAGTTTTTTAACCATTTTATTGATTGAGTTTGAACCTTTCCCCTGGATTTTTCTTTCTTTCCGACTTTACCTAACATTTTCTTATTTCTCTAACATTTCCCGGGTATCTAAATGGACACCATATGTTTCAGCCATATGATTTCCTTGCACTGATACCAGTTATAGAAGGTGCTGGTGGAGTTATCACAGACTGGAAAGGGGACCAACTTAGTTGGGAAGCTTCCTTGGGGTCACCTGCCACAAGTATGATGACCCCCCTATCAACTTATAACTCTATATATTCAAATGTTGTGTGTCGTAATTCGTAATGGGTGCTTTATGTTTTTGCTCATCAGGCTTCAACGTGGCAGCAGCTGGGGACAACCGAGTTCATCAACAAGCACTGGACTCTTTACAGTGGCATTGAAGGAGTAGATGCTGGTTTTCAAACTAGACAGATCTCATATTTAGCTAATTAAGTTATTTACGAAGAATCCCTCCTTTTCATGGCCTTACCTTTTGTATCGTAATCTTATTAATCATTAGATCAGACGTGTTTTATTAATTAATAGTCTTATGCTGCACAAAATCATTCCGAGCCCATGGATATTATGGGAAAGTGGAAGTGATATTTTGTCCGAGACAATTAGAGACCCGTCACCTCTTAGCCTCTTTGGTGAGGTCAATGTGTAGGTCTGGACTTGGTCTTGTTCCAAATCGGTCAGCCCCGGGTTGGGGGAGCGGAATTGAAGAGTTGGAAGAAAAACTAGAGAAAAAAATGATGTTAGGACTGAAACTGGTTTGACCCCTATTTCGAATTGGAATAATCTGAGTAATTCCAGAACCGGTCAATAGGGAAACATAATATCAATAGCACTATAGCAGTGGCATGGTATACAGGGCTTTCTCATACATGTCAAAATAAGGACTGAAATTGTTTAAAAGTATAGCCGTAAATCCCAACTTGATCAGAATCAGATCAAAACCAATGGTCGTAGTCCTAGAAATCCGGGTGCATAACTAATGGTTTTAGTTAGTGTTTCATTTCTTTTCGAAATCAAGTGCCCTTTTAAAATTGCTTTTTGCAATATTATAAGCATTCCATTAGTATGGGTTAGCTTGAATGCTTGATCAATGTATATAAAACCATGAGGAAAAATAGGAAAGGTGAGCGAGAATCACCCCCCAAGAAAAGTGGGAATAATCCCAATCAATATGGGATCTAAGCGCAAGCATACATTCACGATTCATCTAAAAAAGAAGAGGTTTAAATAGGGAGGGTAGCGGAGATCATTAATCCCTTTTCTCTCTTCCATTGTTGGGCAAATGCCCTTCTGGGCTTAAACTCTTCCCTTGACTGAAAAGATGGAAAAGGGTATTTCATCATTTTCGGATTGATGGCTACCCTTAAGGTTCTGTTATTCCTCTTCGTGGTTTCTGTCTTCCATGCCAATGCACAACAATCTTCTTTAGTTCTTCCGGCGACATCGTCCTCCTTTGAACCATTCATCCCTAAAGACAACTTCCTCCTCGACTGCGGCTCCAACACCTCCACCACCGTCCCTGGAAACAGAACCTTTCAGCCCGATAACTCCACGACCGAATACCTCTCTTATGATGGTGCCGACATTCAGGTGTCCCTCAAATCCGCTAACGTCTCTCCAATCTACCGCACTGCAAGGGTGTTCGCGAAGAATGCCACGTACACTTTTCCCGTCTCCTCCCCGGGCTGGCATTGGATCCGCCTTCATTTCCATGCCCTCAACACCACATTGTACGACCTCAGGACCGCGAGGTTCTCGGTGGAGACGGACCGCGTAGTCCTCCTCCACCAATTCGAGCTCCAAAATGACACCAGCGTGATCATGAAGGAGTTTTTGGTCAATGTGACCGCGGAGGAGCGTTACGCCTTGAGGTTCAAGCCTAAGGGGAATGTGGCATTCGTTAACGCCATAGAGTTTGTCTCGGCACCGGAGGGGCTGATCGGGGATTACGCCACCCTCCTCTCCCCTACTTCCCAGCAATTTGAGCTTTTGAACAATAACCTTCAGGTTCTTTATAGGCTCAACGTGGGGGGCCCACTTATCGGATCACAAAATGACACGTTGGGAAGAAGGTGGGACCCGGACCAGGGTTACCTTGACCCGAAGGAAATGGGTAAGGTTTTTTCTGTTTCAGCGGGGGCGGTCTCATATCCAATCGGTGGCGGCCGCGACGGCGATGGCAGCTCACCGTTGATAGCTCCGCCGTTGGTTTATTCGTCAGCAGCCGAGCTTGCCGACTCCAAAGTCGTTCAACCTAATTTCAACATTACCTGGAAACTCGACGTCAACGTCCATTTTTCCTACCTGATTCGCCTCCATTTTTGTGACATCGTTAGCAAGTCTCTGAATGAACTGTACTTCAATGTGTACATTAATGACGATATCGCTATTTCGGGTCTCGATCTGTCGACGTTGACGAGAAAGCTGGCGACGGCTTACTACAAGGACATCGTCGTGAATTCCACGAACGTTTCGAATCCCCTCCAAATAAAAGTTTCTCCGGTAGATGAAGCTCAGGGGATAAGAAACGCCATTCTCAACGGTCTCGAGGTGTTTAAGTTGAACAATTCCGTCGGGAGCCTGGGCGGAGAATACGGCGTTGACGGAGAGATAACAACTGAGGACGGTAGCTTGAGCAGCCATCAAACGGTGGCGACTGTCGGATTCGCTATGATGTTCGGTGCGTTCCTAGGGTTAGGAGCAGTCGCTGTGAAGTGGCGAAAAAGGCCCAAGGAATGGCGGAGGAAGAACAGCTTCTCTTCCTGGCTTCTTCCAGTCCACACAGGAGACACAGCTTTCCCAATCAGCAAGACTCCTCCAGGATCAAAGCCTAGCCAATTGGCTGAGTTTGGCAGGCACTTCTCTCTTGCTGAATTGCAAGAAGCAACGAATAATTGGGAGACAAGTAGAATCATAGGGATTGGAGGATTTGGCAGTGTATATCTAGGAGAAATCAACAATAGAATGAAAGTTGCTGTAAAACGGGGGAATCCAGAATCTCAACAAGGCATCCATGAATTTCATACTGAAATCCAAATGCTGTCTAAACTCAGACACAGGCATCTTGTGTCTCTAATTGGATATTGTGACGAAAACAAGGAGATGATTCTAGTTTATGAGTATATGGCAAACGGACCATTGCGGAACCACCTTTACGGGAAGGGGCTCATTCAGGCCCTTCCTTGGAAACAAAGGCTCGAGGTCTGTATAGGGGCAGCCAGGGGACTCCACTACCTCCACACGGGTGCATCTCATGTGATCATCCACCGGGATGTCAAGAGCACAAATATCTTACTTGATGAAAACTTTGTGGCAAAGATGGCCGATTTTGGCCTCTCCAAAAGCACATCATCTTCTGGGACTGACTCTGATCAGACTCACATCAGCACAGCCGTTAAGGGTAGTTTTGGTTACCTTGACCCGGAGTACTTTCGCAAACAACAGCTCACAGAGAAGTCGGACGTGTACTCCTTCGGAGTGGTTCTTCTAGAAGCATTGTGTGCGCGGCCTGCCATTGATCCGCAGATGCCGATGGACCAGATGAACTTGGCTGAGTGGGCCATGAATAGGAAGAGAAAGGGGATGTTGGAGAGGATCATTGATCCCAGCCTTGTTGGTCAAATCAACCTGGAGTCAATGAAGAAATTCGCGGGAGCAGCTGAGAAATGCTTGGCTGAGTATGGTGCTGATAGGCCTAGTATGGGAGATGTGCTGTGGAATCTGGAATATGCATTGCAGCTTCAAGAGGCTTCTTCTTCATCGCAAGGAAGGGCAGAGGATGAAAACAAGTCGTTTGCAGCTCCAAATTCCCCTGCTGTGCTTTCTCCAGCCAACTGTGATGTCCGCTCTGAATATGATTTAGATAGCTAAAATCAGTTAGGTTATGTAGTAATTTCAAGCCAGCAGATGCTTCTTTGTATATATTAGAAGTTAGAACTGATCCCTAACTGTCTGACCATTAGTTACTTCGTTAGTTTATAGTGCAACGTCTTTGACCTTATTTTATTATGAGCTCACCTTTGGTTTTGTATGTTTTTTCTCTGCAGGTTTTGTTTCCTTTTCTGAAAACAAAAACCCCAAAATGTGTTATTATAATGATACATATTCATAGTAACCACTAATTATTCAGTTATTCAGTTATTATAATCATGTTAATTTGAAAGTTTTGCTCCAACATAATTACCAACTTAAATCTTTTAATCCTAACTGCAGCCATTCCACAGTTAACATTGTATATCAAGAAATTCTAGAATTAGCAGCAAGATGATAACTTTAATGTCAATTTTTAATGAGTAGAAAGATACAATTTCACGTTTAAAATTATTGAATATTAGCAAAATGATTAGTTCTGTAGTTTTTCTATTTTGCAGGTGTTATACATGGAAAACTATAAGCTGATATCAGACTTACTTCTTGGGGCTAGAGAGTTGACTTGTAAATTGCTTATTTTGGACAAACATTGACCTCGAAAGGATACTCATACGACCCTTGCATATTTGTTTATACTCGTATAATATTTTTTTTTTTTTTTCTTTTTTTTTGGGTAAATGCCGGGGAACATTTACCGAGTTTTATTAAAAAAGGAAAAGGATACAAGAAGTGAGGGGGACTAGGCCAAAACCTCACCGAAGAAGGGATATCTTCATCAAATACAGCAAAACAAAGCAGGAAAAACCAGACTAGGGGGGCCAGACCTGACCCAATCCAGTAAAATAAAACAGGAAAAAATGAGTATCACAACAGGAAAACAAAATTCCGAAATTCTAAAATAACTAAGGCCCAGATTATCCGCAATTAAAGAACATCTAATATGGCCAGGTAAATGTCGGATATCTGTCCAAATTAGGAAGTCAGCAGAATTATATTTTGACAAAAAGTGTGCTGGCCAATTCATTTCCCTCAGGATATGTCTGAAGAGAAGCCGATGCTCAACCTTCCATCTTCTCAAGTCCTCGAACAAAGCCTTCCACCTTCCACCTAAATTCGTTTCTTGAATAGCCTCAATCACCATCTTAGAGTCAATTTCCACCTCAAATCCATTATATCCGTTGCTGATCAGCCATGAGATGGCCTTATGAGCCGCAATAAGCTCCGCCTCCATCACCGAAGCTGCAGATATAGGAAAAGACATTCCAACGAGGAATTCACCTGACTTAGTTCGCAGAACAGCTCCCCCTGATGCTCGAGCAGACTGGAGTGACGCATCCACATTCAATTTAAAGTCAAGAGTAGGTAAGCTCCATTTCATCAACTTAATCATCCGACGTTTATTCCTAAAAGTAGGCTTCAGTAAGTTTTCTTCATACAAAACCGGGCAAGGTCGGTCAAGTCTGAGATTTGAAAGGCTAGCTTCAGACCAAAGCTGTGTGAAATTTTTGATTTGATGAACAATAGAGAGATTGGGAGTGAAAATTCCATCTCCCCACTTAAGCCGACAGTAGGCTTTCCAAATGTGCCAGGCAATAATCCCCCCCATGTTATGCTTAAACACATCTAAAAGGGTTTTGGAACCCGCCTCTAACCACCAGGCAATCAACATCTGCCTTAAAGAGTTCATGTTATAAGGAACATGAATTTGAAAAATTCCAATAAAGTATTTCCAAATGTCCCAACTAAAAGGGCAATTTAGGAGAACATGATCCATGAATTCTGAATTGTTTCTACAAAATGGGCATATAGTTGGAAAGATCAACATATTAAACCTCAGTAAGTTATCAGGAAAAGGAAGAACTTTGTGAATAAGTTTCCACTGAAAAATCTTAATCTGGCTTATTTGATGTTTGTTCCAGGCATGGGTAAATGAAAAAGCAGCATTTTTGGATCTTCTAACCTCATGGAACGCAGAAGACAAACTGAATTCCCCATTAGCTGCAGGAGACCAAATGAATTCCCCATAATCATCCTGATTACACAATGTAAGGCCCACACTATTTATTTGACAAATCCTCTTCCAAATAGCAGAATCTGTAGGTTTTGGGTTCATGTCAGATCCCCTAGGATATCTAGCATGACAAAACTGTGCCCATCCAGATTTATTAACCTTCCATTTCCACCACAATTTTAAAGAATAAGCCTTTTCAGTATCCTTTAGGGATCTAAATCCCAACCCACCCTCCTCATAAGGTAAGCAGAGGTCCTTCCACCTTTTCCAATGAAATTTATTCTTATTAGCATTAGATCCCCATAAGAAATGAGACATTCTTCTTTCCAGGCTCTTACTAATAGTCTTGGGAAGAGTGTCTACTGCCAATAAGTGAAGAGGAATGGAGTTAAGAACATGCTTTATCAACACCATTCTGCCCCCAAAGTTAAGGTGTTTTTGTTTCCAGGTTGTAAGTTTCTTATCAAATGCTTGAAGAATATCCTGACAATAGTTCTTCCTGTTTATGCCTTTATGCAGGTTTGAACCAAGATATTTCATAGGCAAACTGATCTTAGTCATACCCAGAAGCCTCTCCATATTTCTTATTCTTGCAAGGGAAGTTTTCCCACAACAAAAGTTACTTTTATCAAAATTGACAGCCTGACCTGATGCCCTTTGATATAACTCCAAAAATTTATTAAAATTGTGTATTGATCTAGCTTCTCCATTCAAAAAGATTAAGATGTCATCAGCATAACATAAATGAGTGACTGCAATTCCATTTGGCCCAATCCAGTAAGGTTTAATCTTTTTAGTTGTCACTAAGTCTTTCAGACCTCTAGAAAGAGCCTCAGTAGCTAGAATAAAAAGGTAGGGTGAGAGAGGATCCCCTTGCTTAACCCCTCTATGAGGCTGAAAGTACCCTTTTGGGCATCCATTTATAAGCACAGAAAAATGGGTAGCCTGGAGGTGTTTCATCACCAGATTAACAAATCCCTTTGAAAAACCAAATTTTAATAGAACTGCCTCAAGAAAAACCCATGATAACCTATCAAAGGCCTTTGCCATATCCAGCTTAACAATAACATTAGTTCCCCTGACCTTCCTATCAATAGAGTTAATCATTTCCTGTGCAACCAAGACATGATCTGAGATATCTCTCCCCTTCATAAATCCAGCCTGTTCTGGGGAAATTAATTTTGGCAGAATAAATGTAAGCCTAGTAGCCAAGAGCTTAGTACACACTTTACTTATAAAGTTAGAGAGACTGATAGGTCTGAAGTCTGAAAAAGTTGAGATTTTATCTCTTTTTGGGATGAGAGCTATTAGGCTGCTTCCCATAGCTTTAGGAATCAGATTACCTTGGAAAAAGTCTTGCACAGCAAGCACCACATCTACCCCAACAGTAGTCCAACATTGCCTGAAAAATACCCCATTATAACCATCAGGACCAGCTGTGCTGTCCTTATCTAAACCCCACACAGCCTCCTTAACTTCCTCTGAGGTTGGTAAAAGCATCAGCATTTGATTATCTTCTTTGTTTACTAAAGCAGGAATGAAATGCAAAATGGAATCCACCTCTTGTACCTCTTCTTCTGCAAATATATCCTGAAAATACCTCTCAGCTGCCTTGGCAATAGCATCAGGTTCTCTGCAAATATTCCCATCAGAATCTTTGATGACAGTGATAGCTTGCATTCTATTTTTAATCTTCACATAATCATGGAAGAACTTGGTATTGGAATCTCCCTCCTTTAACCATTTAAGTTTAGCTCTCTGTCTCCAGAATTCATTCTCATGCTTGTGTTTATTGAGTAATAAAGCTTGTTTGAATGACCAATCATCCCTATTAGCTTCACTGGGATTAGCTTCAAATAAGCTCTCTGCTGTAGTAACTTCCTCTTCCAGTCTCTTAATATCTTGGAAAATGTCACCAAAGGTATTTTTGTTCCAAGCCTTAAGAGTCTGCTTTAGATATTGGAGTTTATTATAGAGACCCCTCATTCCTCCAGAGGTAGGAACATTCTTCCAGGCCCCATCCACCACATGCATAAAGTTAGGATGAGAGAGCCACATATTCTGAAATTTAAAAGCCTTTGGTCCAATTACTAACTGATTTTTGCATTGTAACAGCATTGGAGAGTGGTCTGATGAAGATTTGTTGAGATGTTGGATCTGAATGTTGTCATAAAGTCCCAAGAAAGAAGAATTAAACAGAATTCTATCAAGCCTCCTCCAGACCCTTCCATTTGACCTAACTCCAGTCCAGGTAAAAGTTGTTCCATGAAATGGCAAATCAATCAAGTCACAATTAGCCAAGCAGTCTTTGAATTCATTCATACCACCCAGAGTAGGAATAGATTGCCCTTTATGTTCCCCCTGATTTGCAATGGCATTAAAATCCCCTCCCACAAACCAAGGGGATTTATTAGCCTCAGCCCAGCATTCCAGAAAATTCCAAAGGTTTCTCCTCACAATGTAGTTATGACTACCATAAATGGCAGTGAACCAAATTCTTTGAGTGCCAATAAGAAGTCTCATATGACTGTATTGAGAATCTGTAGTAACATCAGTAACATCCAGTTTGGACTTATCCCAAAATATCCAAATTTTGTTTTCATTACAACAAAAACTTGAGTGCAACCCCAACTTCAAAGCTAAATCATTAATATTAGAAGAAGAAATAATAGGTTCAACAACAACTAATAAACTAATGCTCCACTGTCTAATTAAATCTCGTAGTCTTGGACAGGAAGAAACAAGACCACGAACATTCCAAATAATGCAATTCATCATGGGAGGGCTGAAAAAGCCTGAGCCAGCCTTTTAGCTGCATTCCTAGTAATTCTAGGAGTGACTGGGGCAACCTGAGCAGGTTGTTTCTTTTTCTTTCTAGCTACTGTGATAAAACCATCTAACACAAGTTTTGAATTTTCTGCCAGGATAGCCAAGAGGTCTGCATCTGAGTGTTGCTGAACTTTTGAAAGAAGCATATTCACCTTCTTGTTAAGTCGTTGTTGGCCATCTTTCCATTTTTGTTTGTTTTCAACAAAACCCCCATCCCCATCTGATGAATATCCCTTTGCAAATAAAACAGGGTCATAACCTGCAATTTTCTGGATCTGCATCAGGTTATAATCATCCTTAGCTTTTTCCATTTGGAGAACTACAGAAGCTGGAATTCCTTCTAGCACAGTACTATTTTGACCAGGTGTTACAAAATCTGAGGAGTCACCCGAGATATGAACAGGCATTGCTTCAGTAAAAACTTCTTTGACCTCTGAATCATCAGAGTACTCCTTATCATTGGATGTGTAAGGGATATTGGAAACCTCCAATAAAACTGGCTCTAGCTTCTCCACAAAAGCAGATTTTGTAATAGTCACTTCCTGGACGGCATTGGAGGTGGAAGGGATATTGGAAACATCCAATAGAACTGGCTCCTCCCCGATAGCAGATTTTGTAATAGTCAATTCCTTATGGGTATTGGAAACATCCACTGGCTCCTCTTCAATAACCTCCTTACCCTTAGTAGATATTGGAATAGGTAAATTCCCATCCCCTATCTTCCCGTTTGTAATAATATTAGTTTTGGCTTTGACAACCCATTGTCCAGAACCTCCCATCTTGGAAGAGCTTGGGTCAGAACCCAACACAGGTAATTTAGCATTCATCACTTTAGCGGGTTCATGTCCAGATTTCAAATGACAAGTTTGATTTGAATGACCAAGATGTAGACAATGATCACAATAAAGTGGTCTACTTTCGTAGATTACCGTTTGGAAAAAACCTTTAGAACCACTTTGAATCCAAATCTTATTAGGCATCTCCTGAGAGATATCAACCTCCACACACACCCTAGCCAAAGAGGGGCGTGAGAAAGCCGCAGTAGCAGCATCAATTTTAATAGGTCTCCCAATTAGTCTTGCTATATCAAAAAGAGCTCTTTGGTCATGTAAATGCAAAGGCAAGAATTCCAAACTTAACCAAATAGGAACCACCGGAGATTCCACATTAGGTTGGAATTCCGGTGTCCATTTAGTTACCCTCATAGCGCTGCCAAAAATATCCCAGATTTGTCTATTCCAGCACCTTAGGTAGTCATCCTCCAATTCAAAACGGATAATCAAGTGTTTCTTATCCAAAATACTCAATTGAAACTTCCCTTTAAATCCAATCAGATCAAAGGCTTTTCGTAATGTAATCATTGATGGTCGTCCCTTAAAGAAATAACCAACAAGTGCCAACCGATGTCTCCCTGCCAAAATGTGCACATCCGCATCTGGAAACACCACCGAGGGCACCCCTTTATATCGAGATGGTACTTTCTTCACCAAAGGTGGATCAGCACGTTCCCCAGCCACCACTGCAGCAAAGGATCGCCCTCCCCAGCCCTTGATCGCCGGCGGAGAGGGTGGATTTACCCCCTCCGATACAGTCTTCTCCGTCATTCACCAAAGTCGCCAGAGTCCGTTCATAAGGTATATACTCGTATAATATATCTCACACTTTTTACATAAGCACATATTTAAACATTCAAGTAACAATCCTATTTTGCTCACAAGAATGGGGATTGTAAGGTACAACACAGCTATTATCTAAAAGAGAACCCATAACAATGACAAAACGATTATCTTCTCCGCGCATGTATAATAGGCAAGTCATACAAGCCAGTTCAATAGAAGCACATGAATGTTTTGGAAATTCGTTTTTACAACATTTTCCTTTTTGCTTGGAAATATTAAAATTGTACAGGTCTACAGGATAGTACTTTTTTGGATTCCTAGATTATTTTTTCAATCAAAATATTAAAAATTAGCACAAATTAAACTAAAGCACTTTGAATCCTCCCTGAAAACATGTATCCGGTTTTGTCATTGTTTACAAAATATTTAAAAGCAGATAAGCATATATAGCAAATACCTATTTCGCATATACTCTATTCTATTAATAGTATAGATTGAATAGTTCTATAAACCCTGATTATGATGAGAGTCAGAACATATGAGCTCCACCATTATGTGGCAAACAAAGACAAGATCACCAGAGGTATACATGGTTTTGTAATCTTTCATAGTTTCATGCCAAATGGAGTGATGATATGTGGTGGCTATTACCACTTCCCATCTCAATGATATGTAAATAATGTAATCATAAATTATGCAACCAAAGCAAATTTCAGAGCAATCACTTCTCTACATATAGGAGGCCTGAACAAAAATGCAAGCAGTTGACTTCGTGACAGAGACATTAAAACATACAGTACGTAATATTAGAATCTGAATTTCCTTTACACAGCCAGGAGTATACACTTTTCAAGGTAATTTGCTTGAAATATGTTAAAATGTGATTAGGAACAAAATCTGATGAACCCTGAGGTATAAAACCATCCATAAGAATTAAAAGGTACATCCCCTAAAGATCAATTTTAGGTGTCAAAAAACTAGAAAACCCAATCACTACTTTCCTCCTATTTAAGATACAAAGGACCGAATTGGATGTTCATAAATCCACCCTCGGCTTCTTGCTACCATCAGAATTCCCATCAGGCAGGACAAATCCATCTCCGTCATCATCAAGCACTTCCACATTTCTCTCACCCTTTTCACTGCAATTGCCTGTCAACTTCCTTTTCTTTCCGGAAGGAAGAATTTTCAAGTCGTCATCATCAGCCTCATTGGTTTCCAGAGGTACAGCAGTTTGATTTGTGGATGAGCTTGCACCATTGCCAAGCGGTGTCTCAGTTTCATTTTTGGTGGTCAAATGTGGTGTCCATCCAGATAAAATCATGCCATCAGGTTCCTTCTCCTCATCAAACTCTTCCCTTAAATATTGAAAGAGATAAAATATCACTACAGTAGGAAACATCAAGATAAAAAACCAAGTACAGATAAGAGTCATAGATAAAACTAATTTATAAATAAATAAAACATCACTCACTTAGGGTCTGTTTGGAACAAAAAATATGCCAAGGAAAATATAAAAACTTGGCTCAAAGTTAATTAAATAAGTTTTAGATATTTGTTCAAAGTCGTTCTTTCTATATACTATTATTCCATAAAGGCTGATTGTTATATTGTGTATTACAGAGAGGTAAGTAATCTAAACACGTGTAACATTTTAAAACTATTTAATCAAGTTTTAGTTTTCTTCATATTTTCCATGGCAAATTAAGTGTAACACAAAAAACCATTTCTCATTACATTAAACATTCTTTCTTCCCTTTCCCCTACCACTTTCAAGGTTCCAAACTAAAACCTTAAGGGGTAAAATGCAACTGAAAATGTTTTACAAAGACGGGGATAATGCCTTTTACATTTGTTCAATCCACTAAAGTACGTATTATACCACAAGTAATTCAAAAATGAACAATCAAATAATGAGCAACAAAAACGCAACAAACCTATGCATGATATTGATCTTGCAGGTAAGCTCCTGTTGAAGATCCTCAACTGTAACACTCGATCCGCCAGTAATGGGAGATGGAAGCTCACTTAGCACCTAAGAAAAACATGAGATAGAATCATTCCACTATGGAGGTACATAAAGAGAAATAAAGTAAAAAACTGCCATACTTTGTCGAGGTTTGCAGTGTAGTTAGCAACCATGTCTTCCTCAAGATCATCCCCCACTTCATAAAGAAGTGCTGCTCCTAGCATTATCAAAGGCAAATTCATCCCAAGTTTTGCTCTTACAATCTTTTCAACGAAATCCCTCAACTTCGTGGAGCGAGTGTTGATCTCCAGTGTTAAAGGCGTCTGTTAAAAGACGTGATTAATCAAAGTGAACTTAAAAACAAATTCACCAGTAACATTCCATAAACAAATAAACAAAACAAGGACTGCATGCTTGAACATGAAGTTTGTACCTCAGAACACACATAGCAGGATTTGTTGGGCTCAAATGGCTCAATTGGCATCAGAATCATCTTTCTGGAAGGATGTTCAAGACAATAGGTCATCCTGCATATATTAGAACAGCAGCACTTAAGAAGCAATACTATTATGTCACTAAACTAACAGTCTAGCAGATCTGGAAAGGCTAGGCAAAGTTTGTTTCGCTGAAAATGCAATCACTGCATCAGTTGAATGTCCTTGCATGAAAAGCGTTTGTTCACATCCGTTTCAACAAAACAAGTCAAAAGCTACTAACTCTGCTGATAATCAGAATATTAGAATAAGGCCATTATGGCTACAAGAAGCAGCATAAACTAGTCGATCTTGTGTATACTAGGCAATGTTTTCTACTGAATAAAGAAAGAGTAACAATTAAGATGATCTTTTATAGGAACATGATCCAATGAATCACTTACCAAAATACAACTTAAGATATTTGATATACATACCGATAGTTCTTCAGATCATTCTGCAGCACCTTAATAGCCTCGATCACAATCAACCCAGAAATAATAGCATTTGTTGTAGCAACAGCATGCACAATATTCCCAGCAATACCTTTAGTTTCAAAAAGGCTATGCAACGGGATACCAAATGATGTTGCCCTAATATTAGCAGCAGCAGTTATAAATTCCACAGCTAATTGATCATCTTTGTCAAAATTCAAGTTACCAATATCCTGAAGAGATTGGATTGAGGCTAATAATGATAAGCATGCACTGCATAACTAAGTAAGTGCCAAACTACAGCAAATTTATTTACAAAAGAACAAACATAAAACTGAGGGTTCATGTCAAACCTTCACCCTTTCTGAGTAAAAAAGCTTTAGTGCTTCTAGAAATACTAAAGTGTTTTCTTTCAGGCTCCAAAGCTCTTGAGGATTTTTAAAGCCCAGTTGAGTCATTGCAGAAACTGAAGAGGGATCATTTGTTTTAGAATTTCTATTTCCATTCAGTTGAATCTCTTCAGATGAAAATACATCTTTAACGTGTATAGGCCTAGGCTTGTTGCGATTCTTCCATGTTTCTTCATTTGACAGTGCTACCTCGATGTTATAGCCAAAAACATGATCATATATTCTTTTCCCATAATCTTCTATTTCTTCTCCTTCTCTACGCTCAAAAACATCATCTGCATTCTCTGATGAACTAGAAGTGTCATTAGAATGGACATTAAGATCATTTGCCTGATTCTGGTCCCCAAATAGCTTTGCAAAAAGAAGGTCTTTTGCCCATACAACACAGTGAACAAACTGAAAATGTCAGAAACTGTGTCAAAGAAAATTCACAAAAGGACAAGTCATATACAATAATGCCATGGAAACTTTATGTTAAGATCAAGCTACTAGACATTCAACAGAAAATAGTAATAATGTCAGTAACAGAACAAGTCCAAAAATATTTCCAGATGGAATTATCATCATATAGAGTTTTTAACAAAAAATGATTTTCTCATCAGAACCCAATTTGTTAAGAACCGTTCTATGTAGGCATAATATCCTCCATACCTTTGAAGGAGTACTTGTAATAGTACACACAGGGTAACTCTTAGGAGCTGGTTTAGGCTGGCATTCATAGCATTCAGTTTTTCCCTTCACATGCACAGTGACCTGTGAGGAACGACAGGCAAAACAAAATGCACTTTAGTATATTATTACATAAGCCAATACACATATTCACTTGTGTTATTTCACTGAGTTTTGATAGGCTTATAACTTCTAATGAATAAGTTCTTAGCATAATTCCACAAGCTAGTTCATCAAGCTTAAAGGTATACTG